ATGCCGACTTCTTTGGCCTACCCCTGAAATTTAAAATTCGTGGATACTAGCACTGCATAATATTTCCCATTCATACAACTTCTGTATATTTGTCCTTCTTTGTGCCTAATTATCGATCATAAGGAAATTTTTGCACGTATTTTTGTAAAAAAGCACGAGGAACTCAAACGGTGTCTTTCAGAAGGATGTACGCGGTCGAAAGAGTCTTTCGCATCTAAAGAAGAATCTACTGTAATTCTCAACGATCCATGAATTTCGCCATTCCAAAGCCGACCAGTTGCTAGAATTGACGGCCACTGGCGAGTTCCAGTAGGCATTAACAACTACTCTATGGCTTTTAAAGTGGAATGCCAACTCTTCATGATCAATAGAGAATATCTAAGAAAACCAAGAGAACAAATGTACTTCAGCCAGGAATCGAGACCCGTTCTTTTCTTGCGTGGGCGTTTCTCCTCCTCATCACTGAGCATGAAGTCCTCATCCGCATCCTCAGCTTCATCGTCTACAATAAAGTCCTCATCGTCGTCGCTATGGATGATTTTCTTCTTCTTCGCATCAGGTCCTATCATTAACAGCATACTGGTTTATAGGTATTCAAAAGCGTAATGAATAAATCAACTTTACATACAAATATTTCTAGTCAAGTACCTTTTGCGACAGCACCATTACCATACTGCTTAACGCTAACTCCTCCTTTTGCACCGGCTTTCTTTGCGCCTATAGACGCGGCGATCTGACAACATAACAAATCATTCCATGTCAAAGGGAGTAAAAGAGGAATAGGTTCGAACGAGACCTTAGCTAGTGCTAGCCGCTTGTGTTCTAACGACTGCAGCATCTCATCAGAAGCAGCACTCGATCTATGAGCAACCCTCGATCTGCTGCCATCGCTGAACTTACTTGACGACATGCCACAACTAAACTGCGCCTTTTAGCGGAATTGGGAGTCTGATCAATTACACGATATCTGCGTCGAAACACAAAAGTAAACGAGATGAATTATTTCAAATATTTATACACCCATAAGCCAAGTATAACTTAGAATCCGTATCGTTCAAATTGGGTATTAAATAAGCTCCAAACAATATCTCAGCAATAAGAAACAAGTCAACTACTGTTCGACTTCATTAACAGCACCCAAATTCAGACTAGCGAGATCGTCAAATAAGCCGGTTTCCTGGACCACTCGACTCGTTTCCCATTTTGTTTTGATTTGGTCCCACTGAATTGCAAAGACCTCCTTACGTTGAGTCATCTTCGAAATTACCTATAAATAAATTCCCTTCATTGCACTCTCGAAGCCAACGAGTTATGAAGAGGAATTATTGTACGAATGGTTTAAGCTTACAGCTATACATTGCATTGCTATGGATTTCCTTTGTTGACCCATCATTTCTTCAGCCGCCGACAGCAGCGCCTCAACCAACTTACTTACTTCTGCTGGTGAGTGTAATTGCCAGCTGGAAAAACAGTACTAGTATAGACAGTTTGAGAGACGTAATTCTTGTAGTATTGAACCTTACAAATTAGTTAGCTATCTCAAAAATAATGCAGATTGAAAATTTTGGGAGCTCTGCGTTACGCAACAACATAAAAACTCGCGGCTTAGAAGAGCAAAATCGGAGTTTTAGGTAACTTCGCAGTTTGGCGACCGAGAAAAGTGATGTACCTCCCACTCAAATCCAGAAGTGATATTGCTAACGTCTGTTTTGCTTTCCAAAACAGCGCCGATGACGTTAGATAGGAGCAGAGTGCATCGATCGCGGGAGCCGCATCTTTTCCTAAACAGCTATTAGAAGACTTGTTAACAAAACTTAAGAAAACGATTGTAAACAAATGTTGATCGAACCTTCAGAGAATGCACCGACTGCCTTGGCTAATGCAGCCATATTTTGACTGATGAACTCGGATAATTTAGCTTCTTTTGTAGTGGTACTGTTCTGCTCTTCATCGGATTGATCTTCATCCTCACTAAAAACAACTCACTATAAGATTTTCGATAGGTTTCTTCAAAAACTACAAAGAAAGCTAGAGCAAGCTGTAAAACGACGTCTCCCTTTCATTCACTGAAGATAGGGGGAACACTGAGTCACTCCCCTCAACATTTAAAACGAAATTGATTATACTTCGCTGAATCCCCACCAAATGAATCCAACTGAAGATTGAAGACTAGATTCTACACTTTTCGACATTAGGAGATTTTCCCATGGGAACATGGTGAACGGCTTGAGCCTAGATGTTCTCGACGGATCGTAGGACATTACAACGTTCTCTTAGGCCCTCCTTCTAAGAAGCTATCCATCAGTAAATCGATTGAAGAAATAATGTAGCAGCTTCAGATTGGAGCGATTATGGTAGGCCTCCTTGAGCTCGACGGTGATGGCAGATGACGTCATATTCTGAAGACGGTGAGGGCAGTGAAGAGCAGGCCTACTTCTGCTTATGGGGGCATCTAAGGAACTCGCCTTGAAAAACTCATGCTCAACAACGACACTTTGTGCGACGAAGTATGATGAAAAGAAAAGAAAACCAAAACTCACCTTGGATCAAGAGCTTTTCGAACATTGTCGCCGACTTTTTCCAGCAACCAATGCGTACCTTTCGGGTACGGAAGACTTCGTGAAAAAAGAGCGCAAGCTAGTAAGCCAGCAGATGCATACTCCTTTTTCCTTTTTGAAGCTTCTCTGCTCAAAACAGCAAACACCTGAATTAGAGTAAAAATTGATATCTGAGGAATAACGTAAGGGTTAAGTTGAAATCATTCTTGCCTCTTCGACTTCTTTTTCGGACCAGTTTTTACGAAGTGATGGCCCAGCACATGAGAATATCGTCCCGACAGCATTAAGAAGATCCTCTTTTCCAGGCCAAATTCGCCCAGAAAGCATGGGAAGGAGGGACGCAAGAAGAGATGCTGAAATGACTCTTTCTCAATACGATTTGGAAACATCGACTTTCATTTGGAGACATATTTTGCGATAAGGTCAAAATATGGAATAGGTGCGAATACCCGACACCATACAGTAGAGATTGCACCAGCAGAAACTGTGGCAAGCGACCTAACACGACCGAACAACCTAACAACAACCTTACGAATTGATTTTGGGAGAAAAAATAAGAAACACTGTAAGCCGAGACGACAGAGCAAATTTCGAAAGTCATGAGAGCACAGAGGCGGACGAATTGCGGACAGCGCTTGCGATACCGGTAAGATGAAGCCTCGAGTTCCAGGACGTAGGTTCTTGGTCCTCCGTAGCGCAAGCTCATGTACACTCAGTCAACTTTGCACATCTACATCGTTTGCGAAAACTTCACATGGATGGACGAAAAATCGTTTTTGTTTAATTTCAGCGGTGAATTAGTCACATTGTTGAACGGAAAAAAGGAATGTTTTCACCCAGAAATTAAACAGCACACTTCAAACTATCCTACTTACTATAAAGCGCTTCGTCTGTCGTCTGTCTGTCGTCTGTATGTCTGTCACGAAATTCCCTAGCTCCTCGGGATCCGCCTGGAGGGACCGGGTCAAGTGTGGAATGGGTGGGCAAGGTCTCACGAAGTACAAAACACACATCAGCTAAGCGGAGCCCCGCCCACAGTGGGCGTGGGCGTTCTCCAAAAAAGCAGTGCTTTATGAAAAATTTCATAACTCGGTTGGGAGAAAGCCTACAGAGCAGAAAACAATTTGGTGTAAGGGAGCAATGTCTAAGGTGTTTCCAGCATACATGACGTGGGCGGAGGCCCGCCCACAATGGGCGGAGCGCTCTGAAGTGTACAGCATTTTCTACAAGTCCTCATAATTCGGGCCGGAGAAGTCTTAGTGAGCCGGAAAAGGTGGATAGAGGTGGGTGAAGGAGTGGAGCCCAGCTGTATTGTTGGTGGGGGCATGTCCAAAGTGGGCGGAGTTTGCGACGAAAATTCATAACTCGGTTCCAAGAAGTCCTGGAGACCGGGAAAAAAGTGAATTGAGTCCGTCAACGGAAGGGAGGTCAACTGCTATTGGTGGGTGGGGCGTGCACCAACGTGGGCGGAGTTTGCCCTAAACTTATAATTTAGTTCCAAGAAGTCCAGGAGACCGGGAAAAGAGTGGGTCGAGTCCGACAACGCACGGGAGGACAACTGCTATTGGTGGGCGGGCATGACCAAAGTGGGCGGAGTTTGCGACGGAAATTCATAACTCGGTTCCAAGAAGTCCCGGAGACCGGGAAAAGGTGGATGAAGGAGTGGAGCCCAACTGCTGTTGGTGGGCGGGGCATGTCCAAAGTGGGCGGTTCTCCACGAAAACTTTGTGACTCGGCTGCAAGAAGTCCTGGAGACCGGGAGAGAAGTGGGCGAAGGAAAGGAAGTGAATTTCTAATGGTGTGCGGAGGATACACCAAAAAAGCAGGATTCGCCGCCAAAATTATAAATCGGCTCAGAGATAGTTCAGAGATCGGGTAAAAAGTGGGAGAGGTTGGCGAGGAAGAAAAAGATAGGTGGGACATGCAAAGAAATAGGCGGAGTTTACCACGAGATTTATAAATCGGTCCAGAGGCAGTCCGAGACCGGGAAAAGCGGACAATTGGTTGACGAAGGGGACAATTGGTGGACGAAGGAGGGAAGGTCAAAAGCCCATCGGTGGATGAAGCATGGGACAATCGGATAGAATTCAGCTTGAAAGTCAAATATTCGAAGTGTATTGGGCCAAATTCGAAAATTCACGCCGCACCATCCCATATCGCCGCAGAACTGCTGTGCGCGCAACGCGTGCGGCGCCAACTGGTTGCTTATATGCACAATAGCTTTGCACCAGCAACCTGTTCTATTGAGTTGCGAGGTTGTGACGTCGATATATCTGACATCGTAAGTGGCAAAATAAGATCCTAAGATAGCTTGGAGTGGTAGCGAGCGTTCACGAAGCACGGGTCCTAGCGAACTGGAGTGTACTTCACTCAACAACGGACAAGAGCTGCAAACTTGACCGTCAGTGTGGAAGGACCAAAAAGAAACACTCAAACACTGAAATTAAGGGCCTCCTTTTGACGTGAGATTGACCGTGGTAAGACGGAAAGACGTGGAATTTCTAGGAAAAGAAAGCGCGAATGAGCACGTTGTATGAGAGGATAGACACTACGTATACTGTTGATGTTAGGAATATCAGCGGCCACAGCGGTCAGAAAGACGCATTACCGCCACAGGCCACGATACCTGCGCCTAGAAACTTTGCTGTCGCACCACGAAGAGAAATACTCTAAGAATTCAATCCCCACCCGAGCGTTCGGAGTCCTGACTCCGAGTATGGATATGAGGCCAGGCTTTCGTCACTACAAGCTCTAGCCAACAATAG